ACCAGCGCACAAAAGTCTCGTTGAAGTGCTGGATCCCCGATGCCGTCGCCTGCAATCCCCCGAACTGGAGAATCGACTCCACGCACGGCGCGGCCTCACCAACAGCGCTCTCGGACACATTGGCACCCACCGTCAAGCGGACGATCTGGTCGACACCAAGGAGCGAGCTCGCGATCTCACTGCATTGCATCCGAGGAAAAGGAAGGATCGGCTCCCCAGTGCTGTAGTTGAAAGGACACGGCGGCGCAGTGATGTTGACGCCATCTCCTCCGGTGACCACTCCGCGCTGGTCCAGGGCCCACCAGTCGAAGTCTTTGTGAAGTCGGCTCTGGTTGCCCTCTCCGTTGATGTCCCAAGCGTGGCTCAATTCAACGCAGTCGGTGCCAGAACTGGGGCCACCGCAGTGGAGAAGCAAGGGCCCTTTCTTGGCGGGCTGCTCCGTTGCCGGAATTGCCCTGACACGCAAGCAAACATAGGGCACCGCTTCATAAGGCAACATCGCCATGTCGTGCACTAGGGGTGTCTTCAGCCAGCCGAAGTAACTCTGAAGTCCATCCTTCGTCGATACTTGCTCATCCCACACCAGGACCTCAGGATCCGGGTTCCAAAAGGACCATCCTGCATCAACTCCCTCGTTGGAGGCTTCCTCCCTTTGCCCTCGCAGCCGGCGGGCCGAAGGCTCGGAGTTTTGTCTTTGCTGCGCAGCCCCGAGACGGAAAAGGCCCAGCACCAGGTAAGCAAAGTGTGCCATGGCAGCTGAGTAGATGCAGTGGAAGCCACAAAAGCCTGGAATGGTTTCAGCCAAAATCTCAGTATGATGCTGTGGAGATGTGTCGTCACTACGACCTCGGCTTGCGGTTTTAGGTTTCGGGGTAGTGCCGACATCTCCATCCCTGCAGCCCGAACTCCCAAATCCTCCACGCTCGTTTGGCAGCTGCACCTCCAGCGGGTCCCACATGAGCCCATCGTAGCCGGCGATCCAGGTGTTGCGTACCCTCGGCAAGCAGATGGAAGCTTCACCTAGAAAGGCTTAGAACTGAGGCTCTATCGAGAAATCTTCTTCGAGAAACGAAACGCTCTGCAGCTTGACGAACATCTTCAACAACCATGCCAAACAAGCCGCCGGGGCCTTGGGGGAAGAATACTCAACCTAAACCCAATCGAAAGCCCTAACCGTGCTCCTCAATACTCCCCCCAACCTGAGCCCTAGCCTCAGCTTTCCCCAAACCCCAAAGAAGACGCTTCTGAAGCTTACGGCGTCGCCGGACCGGCGAGGCTAACTAGGATTTGAACATGGAGTGGTGCCCGGAAGAGCTGAAGCCCAAGCCCATCCATGGTGTCCGGTGGCGCTCGCAAATCCTGGCCCAAGGACAGCGGCGAGGTGGTGCTGGAAACGAGGGAGTGGGGGGGGGGGGGGGGGGGNNGGGGGGGGGGGGGGGCGGTGTGGCAGTACATGTCTCCCCTCTTTCAGAACTTGAGAAGCGCCGACGTGGCCCTGCGAATGTGCCGTCGGTATCGACTTGTAGTCTTCAAGCCTTTCCTGGATGTGTCGAAACCAAGGCTTAAGCCTGCTACAATGAAGCCGGGAGTTTTAGACCCTGCAATTTGGGCTGAGCGTTCAAGGTTCGGAAAGAACAAGCCTGGAGGCTTGTGCAATAGAAAGTTGCGGAACAAATCGGGCGCCGGTTGATGTGCTCTTCTGCAGAGAACTTGCGACATGCTGATCCTAGCAGCACACGATCCCACAGCAAGTTAGTTGCCGATTCTTGAATAGCCTGCAACCCGTAAATGCGACCAGCAACAGTCGTCATGTCCTTCGGTCGCGAAGTCGTGACGCCGATGCAAAGCCCATCTGGGTGGCCTTGGCAGCTCGGGTCGACGTCGGCTTCGGGTAGCCTTTCCAGTTCGGGCTTCAAGGCTATGTTGCTGCGCATGTCTGGTTGGGTTTGGGTATGGGGTCTAGGGTTTCAGCGTTCATGGCTTCGGATATGCAGGTTCAGGTGAGACCACGACACCTTCGTCGGAATAAGAGCTTCGGGATGTAGGGCTTACCGTTTTTGAGTCTTGGGTCAAGCGTTAAATGCTGCTCAGGTTTTAAGAACCAGAACCTCTAAACCCGAACGCCCGGAAAAGTTGCCCTAAACCATCAACCTCCAAACCCGGCTCTCTAGACCCCTCCCCTTGTACCTTTCGCCCCTGAACCCCTCAGCCGCAAACTTAACTCTGGCATCCAAACCCGTAGAAGCCGTCTAAGAGTTCAAAGCATTTGTTGCACTCAAGCCTGCAGCCTACGATGCTTTTAGGGTTTGGGGCTTAGGGCTTTGCGCAAGACCTTACTCATTCAGGCTGCGACTTATGATTCGCGTCAGGATGAACGGCAGCCATGTTGAGGGACTCTGTGGTAAGCAAGTCAATGCTAGGAGCCATCACACCACCGTCGTCGTCGGTATCACAAGAATATCCCCAAAGAACCACAATGCCGGGAATAGCCGTCCCCGAACTGTGAAAATCTGGAACATGGGTGAAGAATGGTTGGCGCCGCGTTTCACAGCACGGTGCCTTGAAAGAATGGAAACAAACATGTTCCAACTTTCTGACAGTTATTGTAAAGAAGGCCAGGGGACCCTCCCCAGTGCGCAAGACCTCCACTTCGAAGTACTTGCCTGATCGAGGAGGCTTGGGGGCTTAGGTTCACAGTTTAGGCTGTGTTCACGGCACATCCGGCCACGTCAAAGTCTTACTGGTAAAGGGATCTGATACGAACTTTACTGGTTCTTGCTAATGTTGAACATGAATGCCTCTGGCCCATGAGTCTATGCGTTGAGTCTTATGCTGCTGGCTCCTGAACGAGGATTGCATGATTAAACCTTGATTTGTAAATACTAAAATCGATGTCCCATGCCCTTAAGTCTTAAGGCCCAACTAAGGCTCAACATGTTTGGTTAGCGACAGGGTTTCTCCGAAACCCGGAACAAGTAAAATAAACACGTCGTGCCATCTGGGCCGTTAGTTTCCGCAAGGCTATTAGGAGTCAAATGCACGTGTTCCACAGTGGCTGTAAGGTACCGTAAGCCTTGCTGCCCTGATCATCACAGATGCCCCTAAACCCTAAGCCCTAAACCCTAAACCCCTAAACCTTAAACGTGGCCCCTAAACCCTACACCATAAACCCTAAACCCTAACCCCTAAACCCTCAACCCTAAACCCTAAACCCTAAACCCGGAGATGCCCCGACCCTGCTCCCGGCTTCAGCTGCGAGTCCCAAGACCCGAGTCGAGTCCTAAGCCCGAGCCCTGCTTTCCAAAACCCTGCCCTCCCTAAACCCACTTGGAGGTTCATGGGTAGTTATAAGTAGGGTTATAAGTCCCCGAATATGGGTTATAATTGTAGTAACCCTACTTATAACCCCACCTATAACTACCCATGAACCTCCAAGCAATCAACGTCAAACAAATCGGCGCTTTCAGCCAGCAGGATTCTGGCGGGGCGACGGCTCAAGGCTGTGATCAGACGGCTTCACACTCCAGAACGGTTGGGGCCGGCCCCGATCCCGAACCATAGCCCTCAAGACAGCCAGCCTGTAAAATAGTAGTGTCGATGGCTGGTGGCTTGGGGTTGCTTGAAACCCTTTGCCCTAAACATGAAAACCCAAAGCCCCACAAGATCCTGAAGCATCCTGCTTGCAACGGGAAGAGGATCCCTAACTCACACTCCAGAAACTGAGCGCCAGTCGGCCGAACCACCCAAGTTTAATTCGGAGTTCTTAGGCTCTCAGGACTGCAATTCGTCCCGACACCTAGAACCTTAAACCACCAAACAGAAACTCGTCTCACCTAAATCCCAAACAGTTGACCAGTTTCGGATGTAGAACTACAGCCCCGGAAATGCAGACACTAAATTGCCCTGGGACTCCCAGACCTGACAATCTAAACCTTCTTCGCACTCAAATCTTGAAGCCGGCACACTCCCAGGAACCCGAATCCCTCAAGGCCCCCTCTCTGCTCCAAAGCCCCGAAGCCTTCGGCTGTACTTGTCAGCGGGGCATTGCCGATGATGCCCCCGTGCAGCTCATAGCTGTCTTCCTGCTCCCGAACTGTGAGGCCCAAACACCCTGAAACCTGAAACTCTTAAGCCCTGGAAGCCCTAACGCACCCAACGCCTGAGCCCCCCCTTGAGAGCCTTCGAAAGCCCTGAAATACCGAAACCCCACCCCGAGACCTTGCGCCCAAAGCTTGGTTCGGGATTCTTCCGGGCTGTTGGGCTCGTCGGGACTTGGGCACGGCGCCACGCTACTGCGAATAACCTTTTCGTGCAAGGCATCCTCGTTTTGAGCAAGCACTGTCCTGTCTACAGGGGCATGTAGATGGTGGCTCGGCTTAGCCGGAGGGCAGCGGGTCTTCTTTCATAAAGCAGGCGTGATTAATATCTTTACTTGATAGTGAGTGTGCGGCAAAGCCCCCGAAGACCAAACGGCCTGCTTCGTGCCGATGTAGGCGGCACGCAGTCCATCCTCCGAAATGCGCACGAAGCCTTGGCAGAGGAGAGCTGCTGGATCAGGAGTCCGATCAAGGTGCGGGCTGAACCAGACTCATGGCACGAATGACCCTGAGGATAAAGAAACAAATCAAAATACATCGTAACAATCATCACCAAATTCCTGCGGCTTCGGAGCGGCTGTGGAAGGACGCTGCGAAGCCGGACCTGATGCAGGAGAGCCGCCATCGTAGACGTAGGAGTTGAGGGCTTTGGGGCTGTTGGGCGTGTAAGTTTTCGGGTTATGTCGGGCATTACATGTTTACTTCAATTGTAGTCAATGTGTTTACGGGCTCAGGAGTTTTATAAAGTTCAGGTTGTGTAAGCTTCCGGCTTTTGACGTCAGTCACAAGGACCGCGAAATCTTGACACAGCAAGCCAGCTCAGCAAGCCACCAGATACGGAGCCACTACATGCTAAGCTGCCAGACACAGAGGCCTCAGCAACTAGGACGGGATTTGGGCTTTCAGTGCACGGCTCCTGCAAGGCTCCTGCAAGGCTCCTGCAAGGCTCCTGCAAGGCTCCAGACAGGCCTGGTGGGTTCGGGTTACGGCTCAAAGCTAAGGCGCCAGAAGCAAGAAGTTACCGGTCGGGCTTTCAGGATGAGAGGTTCTTTGCATAGTTGTGTGTGGAGCGTGGACTGTCTCTCTCTTGCAGAAATTTTCGGGATACATCTGTCGGGACTGAGGCATACTTGAGACCTAAGACCCGCGATCCTCTGAACCCGGTGCTCAATCCTTTTTGCTGCAAAGTTGCATGGTGGCTGGGAGCCGGCTCGATCGCGGAGTGACACTGCGCGACGGTGCTGCCTCACTGATATGTAGCGGTTTCAGTGCTCAAGGTGTTGCACCTCGGGCTTCCGGACACTAGACTCTCTGCTTACTGTTTGGGACTTGGAGATCCTGCATTCCCGCGATCCATTGAGGCTAGATGTAAGTATGCCTGAGGCGTGGGGCTCTGTGGCAGAGTTCTGCCGAGGAGCTGTACTTTACGACAAAACACGATTTCTGAGCATTGGTGCTGTCTGCAATGAAGGACTAAACCGCTCAACCGATCGACCTTGGAGTTGACTGCACGGCACCTAAAACCTTGGAGCCTGAACCCCTAAACTCCCGACCTCGGAAGGCTCAACGTCAGCGCCAGCGACCTCCTCCTGCAAGACAGCCGCTTTGCGGGGCTTCTGGGTTCCCGAAACCTCCTGTAAGCGCACCTGTGGGTCTACTTACCAAAGGGTTTCGGAGTTTGGGGTCCAGGGGGTCGGGGTTTAGGGCTTTTCATTTTGGAGATGCAAATGGCCCTAGGGCTTCAGAGCGCATGGGCCTGCGCAGGGGCCAAGCCCTCCCGCTCAAAGCAGACAGCAAGCAGAGCCAGTTCAAAGAAGACTCTGCAAGAAGATATCTGGCAACCGCTACGTCTCCGCTAAGTAAGGGTATGAAGCCCAAGGCTCAAGTAGCTGGCCCAAAATTCAAGCCCGAAACTCCACGGCGCTTTCCCCAAAACAAGGAGAGAAAAAAGGCAGAACGACGTCCTCCCGATCCTTGGGTGGTACTTCCACTGCCACTGCCTGCACAGAGCGCATGTTACACAAGCTTTACGCGCGGGTGCCCAGGGGCGCGTAGGGTTCGCAGAGCATCGGGTGACCCGGTAACGAAAAGTACCTATGTATGCGTGTACATTATGCGCATGTATGTGTATGTGTGTGTGTATATATATCTATAACACGCATGTGCATGTAACCCAAAGAGCCGCAACCCCTTTGGGGGCGAGAAGCTTTGCGCAAGTATTTCCTCAAAGTCCGAGAAAGGAGGCCGTGCCCGCATCTGCCAATTCAAACGGCTAGCAGGCCAAACACGATGATAAGCAAGTACAGCTCGAACCGTTAATAACCTTTCTGCCTCAAGCTCTCTGCACAGCTTCGGGATGGATGCATTTACTCGGAATCTGCTTGTGCCGGGCTCTTGGAAAGTGGAAGATTACGCTGCCTCGTCCTCTTCTGCCGAGTGCGAGGCCGCAGTCATCAGCAGCGGCAACCGCAGCATTACCGTCGTCATCAACATCACCATCGCAATGACAATCAACACTGTCAATATGTACAGCTTGTCCCAGCTTTACCCGACGGGCCGAAAGAAACCGAAATTCCCAGCATCGCCTCCTTCGCTTTCTGCGCCTTCGCCGCCTTCGCCGATGCCGAAAGCTAACGCTGCAACCGAATCTCTTTAGGTCTTGTGAAGTGCCTGTCGGGCCTCGACAGGGCTGAGGCCTCTTTTTTGGGGGGAGATCTTGTCAATCGTGAACTCAGTGCCGGAGCCGAAGTCACCATCCCTTTTTCGCACGGGCGCAGCGTAAGAATGCATAAGAGCTTCCCAGAAGTCCAGAAGGAGTGCTTCCTTGTCCTGCTCGGAGCAGCTCGGCGACTCTGTTGTTTCCAGTCTGAAGCGCCTGGATTTGCTCTTGAAGCCCTAGGCCTTAAACCCTAATTCGCCCAGCCCAAAACCCTTCGCTCAGCGTGACACAAGCTGCCGACTCTGAGAAACGACTGCACGGATACAAAAGCTATTTACCAGGTTGCGGTCGGCCTGCTTGGAGGATCGGCTTAAGGGTGCTACAACGGTTTCTTAAGGATTCGAGACTGTAAGGTTTCTGCAAGGGTTCCGTCAGGGTTCTATCACAAGCATTCCGTAATTCGGCTTTTAGAGCGCTTAAGGAGTTTCGAGCTGAGGGTGTCATACTTGGGCCGAGGGTTTGGAACCGTAAGTCGGCTCATGACGGTTGGGATGACTGGAGTAGCTGTATATGGCTGCCTATTTATCATTTTTCTTGGTTGCCGCCGATCCTCCAAGAAAGGGGCCGCCCCAGAAGAGCAAAAGATGTGATGTAAAGACCGGAGTAATTCTCCTCTTTGCCTTGCTTTGAGGGCCTGGGGTTTCTGAGGAGTAGGGTGCATTGGTGGTGTCGAGGATCTGAAACTGTGAATTACTCCGGTCCTGGCACGGGGGATCCAGGGTTGAAACCAAACAGATCATCAGATAAAAGGGGCTAAGTTGGAAAGTGATGCTTGGAATCAAATGAACTTCTTCGACCTGACCTCCGACCCTAGCCGTGAGCTCCACCTAAGGGCCGAAAGGCCACAAAGCCCTGCGAACTTCCATTTCTGCTGAGTTGCCGTTCCTTGCACCCTCTGCACACCAGCATCTTGTAGGATTCGTTGGCTTCAAGCTTAGGGTTCGACCTTCGGGGTCTCAGGTGCAGGTCCTGGGACCCTGAAACCCTAACCCTCTATGCTAGACCCCCAAACCAATGAATCCCTAAAGGTGTTGAAAGCCATATCCCAAGTCTCCATGAAAGGCCCCGTGAAAAAACTCTGAATCCCCCCAAGCCCACACGGGCCGTTCACTCGTAGACGGAAGGCTTGAGTGCCGCGATGTAGGGCAGATTGCGGTAGCGCTCGGCATAATCGATTCCGTAGCCTGCCAGGCGGTAGCGGCGGTAGCTCAGGGTTCGGAGCGGTGAGGGGGTCCAAGGGTTTTCCGGTGAGGGTTGCAGAGGGGGGTCTCTAGGTAGGTGCCTTTCGGGGAACAATGAGCAAGTCTCCGAAGAGTTGCGGATCAGAGTTCGAGGTTTGATGGTCTTTCTTCAGCCGCTTCTGCTTGCCAGGCTTCCGCCTGGCTTTGCTGAGTGCCTCCACAAGTACGACATGCGGTTTTCCTCTGTTACCCCCAGGATAAGTGTTCAAGGTCCCACCACAAAAATCACCGGCTCAGGATAACTATTCACTTCCCCATCGAAATAAGTGTTCACCTGAGGGCACGACTGAACCACGTTCAGCTTACAAGAGTTTGCCCTAACCCCTGCACCCGGAATTCCCATACCTGTGCTATGCGCATGCAGCAGGTTCAAACTTCAAACCCTTGAAAGCCGAGAGCTCTACGGCCACGTTCTAAGAGACATGCAGCTCGTGAGAGTCGAGAACTGTAAGCTTGCGGATTTAAAGGAAACCCTGAAGCCCTGAAGGGTTTGGGGTTTAGGGTTCCGGAATTCTACCCGATTCTAGCCACCGTCTGATCCGTCCGGGCCTACGATGAACTCCTGATTTCGAAGCAGCGGGGGTCCCGAAGAGGGCTTCGGGTTTGGTTCCTGGCTTTTGGGCTTTCTGGTTCGTTGCCCGGGATTTGGGTGCAGGGCCTACGACAAAGTTTTCCGGGCAAGCCATACATATACAAGTACATAGAGGGTTCCTGACAGAAGATACAAATATTTCTTCCTTGGCAGCATGCCTAAACCCTAAACATACCCTGGGCTCAGTGCTCGGATTTGGGCTTCAGGGTAGGGTAGATTTCACGATGTTCGTTGAACCAGGACGCCAGGACCACCTGAAAAGCCAACAGCGGTAGGGCTTTGGAAGGACATGAGACAAGACAATGCGGGGCATGGACACAGATACGAGAAGAGGGACAAGAAAGATTGCAAGCGGTGCGCAATGCATTTACTTGAAAGTAGCTAAGCTCTTTTTGAGGAGCCTCAACGGACTGATTCAAGGGTATGAGGGCAACCCCAAAGCCGCAAGCCAATCATGCCTACGAGCCGGAATGCCAGAAACCCTTAAACCCAGAAACCCTTAAACATCCCTAGAGCCTCCCTGAAAAAATGAAGAGTTCTCACGGATGCAGCTCAGCGACATTGGGACCTCGGACCAGGCAGGACTTCCCGGTCAAACCCTGGAGCCTACAACAAACAACGCCTGCGGAGACCCATGAGCTGGGGATCGGAGTGTTGGGTTCAGTCTTGGGCTCTAGGAATTTTGTTGTTTGTGGCTGTGAAACGGCTTTCTGGCTCCAGCTTGGGAACTCCGTCGCCTGTGCTCCTCCCCCGCCCCAGGAAAAAACACAGGCCTGAGAAAAAAGGAACCCGAAACTCCCGTGCCGCGAAAACCAGTCCAGTCCGAATCTCCGGCACCCCCACAAACCCCTGTGCCTACTAGAGTAGCCTTCATGGTTAGACTGTTCCGGACCTTCAGCCGTAAACCCTGAGCCTGATTATTCCACCTCTTTACTGAGATGGCAGGGACCCACCACCCTGAATCCGCTGAAGCCCAACAGCCCTCGGACCCTAAATCCTCAACCATCAACCTGCTTCAAACACACCGGTCCTGGGTCCCACACCTTTCCCCA